TCGGTAAAGTCGACAGTATTAGTAGCCAGGCTGGTCTGACCAGTCGTCTGCCGAGCTAGTTAACGGGTGTGCAATGTTGCCCATGTTTTGATATTTTATTTTAGGTAATCAAAAGTGCACAGAAGATAGGAATTGCATCGGATATATTTTCGTATGATTAACTTTAGATGATAATAATTATTTTTACACTGTTTTAATTTATCTTATAATGTGTTTATTGGGGGGGGGGGGACATGATAACACAGAGTCGCAAATTCTAGCCAAGGGGAGGAGATTTCAAAATCTACCTGAGTAACCACTCATCCCTCCGCTCGCATGTGTTAATTAAATAAATTAAAACATTCAATTAGTTAAGATTTCACGAGGGGGTAAAAGGGGGAGGTATTATGGCCGACGGTTGCAAATTTTACTCAACAAGGGGAGGGGTTGTTAGAATCTATCTGAGCCACCCCTCATCTCTCTGTTAGCATGGGTTGATTGAATAAAAAAAATTGTTAAATGAAAAATGAAACTCGAAAATGGTGACATTGCGAGGGGGCAGGAAAGGGGAGGTTCAGCGGCGGAGGGTTGCAAATTTTAGGCAACTAGGGGAGGGGGTTCCTGAAACTGACTGAGCCACTACCATCCCCACTACAAAAAGTAGTGTCTGAATTTCAGACACATTTGTCCCATTTTTTAAGTAGGGAATGTACTCAGGGAGTAGGGAGTAGGGAGTAGGGAGTGTCTCAGTTTTTAAGTAGTCAAATTTGACTGAATTTGTGACAACTCATGTATCTTATGTGGAAGATACTTTACGAGTCTTAATTTTTGCAAATTATTATCTTCTTCTTTCGTCATTATTAATACTGCTTTGGGGGGGGATGGGCCGTAAAGGTGGGGCGGGGGGAATCCAGGGAGGTTTTTAGGGTAGCTGAAGAGGAGGGACGGGGGGGGCTTGAACCCTGAAATATAAGTAATACTAATAATAATAATAATAATAATAATAATAATAATAATAATAATAATATGTCAGAATGTATCTGAGTCAAAAAATGCAAATCGCGAAAATTGATAATTTACGAGGGACTGCAGCTGCTCCTGTTTGAGCTGCGTCAGTTGAACCGCGGGTTTAGGATCAAGCTGATCGTCCTGATCATTGGCTCTCTTGGCGGCATGAAACAGTCTTTTGTATCTGCGCTTAAGGTGATTCCAGCCTGCAGGCGCAATGCCTTAAGACTGGGTGGCCAGATGCAAAAGGCTGTCATTCTTGGGTCAGTATGACTACTTAGACATCATGATTCTGGACTGCAGTAGTGCTCACCCTCTGGTTGGAGGGAGCACTACTGCAGAGCGATTAGGACTTGTTTGTATCGCTTGGCTTGCCGGATGGTCTTCGAGGTGAAGTCGGAGCCCTCGAGCATCATCCAGATCTCATTCACGAGAAAAAACAAAATTAATAATAATATTAATTTGCGATACCACCATCACACACTGAATAAACAAGTCCTCCTCATGATTAAGGAGAGATTTGTTGAGAAGGTGCGCGTTCTGGGGACTACGAAACGGTCTCTAGAGAAGCGGTTGCGACAGGTGGTCGACAATTCTGTCTTCCGCTCCGACCCGAATCGCGGGTTCGATCCATCCGCGCCTGCACCGGCTAAGATGCCTTCAGTCGAGCGGGTTGAAGAGTTCTGGAGGGGTCTCTACGGTCAGGCCCCCAATCTCATGGTGGAGACTCCAGCCCTCAAGGAGTTTTGCGCGTTTTGTCGTGTACATCGTCGGCAGCCCACGGAATTCTCGCGAATCACTCAGGAAGAGGTTCGATCTACTTTACAAGGTATGTAGAACCACGCCGCTCCGGGTCCTGATGGCATTAACGCCTTTTGGTGGAAGAGGTTTATCTGGCCCGAATATTCACGGCATTTCTCGATGGTAGTGAGCTTATTCCTGAGTGGTTGGTAGAGGGGAGGACTGTGTTGCTCCCCAAGAGGGAGAATTGTCCAATCCGGCGAACTATCGGCCGATCACGTATTAGAATACATTTTATAAGCTCTTCACCGGTATCCTGAATGAGCGTATCCTCCATGATATACAACCAGTGTGGCAGCAGATACATGAACAGCGAGGAGTGAAGCGGGCCTGTCAGGTTGCAGGGAAGGTCTGTTTGTCGATCGCTACGTATTGCGCGATTCGAGGCAGTACCATCGCAATTTGTCAGTTGCCTGGGTCGACTATCGCAAGGCATTCGATAGCACGAGTCATGAACTCATTTTCCTACTATTGGATTGCCTTGCGGTAGAGGACGACATAGTGAGGTGTATGAAAGATCTTGCACCACTTTGGAGAATGCGCTTTACCATAACATCTGGTGAGGGTAAGCCCAGACTTCGAGGTTGGTGCAGTATAGGAGAGGAGTCTTTCAGGGTGATACTCTGAGTCCTCTATTATTTTGCATCTCACTAATGCCGCTATCTGTTGCGCTGCGTTGTGTTGGAGGGTACCAAGCCCGAAAACCCGGTGATAGGAGGCATCAGGTCAGTCATGTGTTTTACATGGATGACCTAAAGTTATTTGCTCAAGCTTCAGCTTGGTGCTATCGCAATGTATTCACGTGCGATCGGCATGAGTTTCGGATTGGACAAGTGCGCCGTCTTCCATATGAAGAGGGGCAAGATTGGTGGCGAGGTGGATGATCTTCAGCTTGTGGATGGAAGCCTCATACATCATCTTGGCGCCGAAGAGTCGTATCGATATCTTGGTTTCAATCAGCGTTCCGTAGTGGAAACTGTAGAAATCAAAGAGGCTCTTCGCGAGGAATATCGGCGGCGGCTCAGGAAAGTTTAGATGTCCGAACATTCCGGCAAGAATAAAGTCGCAGCAACGAACATGTTTGCTGTCTCGGTGCTTTTTTACTCCTTTGGTGTTCTTAAATGGAGTAGATTTGAGTTGGAGCAGCTGCACAGAGATACCCGCAAGCTGATGAACCTTCATAGGAGTCTCCATCTACGTTCTTCGACTCTGCGGTTGTATTTTCCGCGAGAGTGTGGAGGACGAGGACTTCTCAGTTTGGAGGCTCTTCATGATTGTCTAGTCCTCGGTTTAGCTTGTGACGTCATGAATGGCTTGGATCCACACTTGGAGTTCGTGCATGATCATGAGCTCCATGGGGTTCAAGCCTTTCTATACAAGGCAGCAGATACGGCAGCGGCTTCCCTTGGTTTGGAATTTCGTCGCGGCTGGGATGGCCAGTTAGCTAGTGACTCATTAGCCATCATGGCCAAACCTCGGCGTAGAGCGACCATCAAGGCGGCAGAGCAGTCCACCTTGCTCCGCCAGCACGTTGATAGGCCCGAGCATGGTATATTCTTTTGCCATGTGGAAGAGCAGGGTCTTTGCGTCCAGCTGACATTCGCCTTCTTGAAGTCAGCTGACTTGATGTCCGAAACTGAGGGTTTCATCTGCGCATGTCAGGATGGCGTTATAAACACCCTTGTCTATCAAAGTCGTGTTATTGGGGTGCACGTTCCGGATACTCGATGTCGGATTTGCAAGCAATCCCCGGAAACTCTGATGCATCTTTTATCGACTTGTCAGACTTATGCAATCACGAGTTATATGCAACGTCATAATGCGGCAATGACAGTGTTGTATTATCATTTGCGGCCCTCTTATGGGATAGACAGAACGCCGGTGCTGCCTTACGCTCCAGGAGATATTGAGTCCGTTGTCGTGAACGAGAGGTGTAAGATTTACTGGAACTCGTTCGCGACTGTCAGGCCAATCGTTGCGACGAAACCTGACATCGTCCTCTTCGATTTTGATGACAAAATCATCTATGTCATTGAGTTCTCAGCTCCGGCTTAGCGCAACATCACAGTGAAAGAAGAGTAGAAGCGGCTCAAATACCAGCCACTCATGTTTGAGCTACGTCAAATGAATCGGAGATTTAAAGTAAAGTTGGTTGTCCTGATAATTGGCTCTCTTGGGGGAATGAAAGAGTGATTCATATTTGCGTTGAACACCATCCCTGCATGTAGGCGTCAAGCCTTCATTTTGGCTGGCCAAATGCAGAAGGCGGTCATTCTTGGATCCCTCCGTCTACTTAGACTGCACGATACTGGACTGCAGTAGAGCTCACCCTCTGGTTGGAGGGAGCACTACTGTAAAGCGATTAGGAAAATTTTTTTTCGTTACCTTGCTGGGCGGTCTTCGAGGTGAAGTCGGAATCCTCGAGGATCGTTCAGCGATCTCATTTACGAGGGTAAAAAAATAATAATAATAACAGGCTAGTACAGGCGTAAGGAGTGTGGCGAAACTCCGGATATCAACTTGCTCGATCTGAACTGGGCTGTGTATGATGTGGCTCTTCGTATGAAGCGTCAGAACCCAAGTAAAGGGTCATTTGAGGTGAAAACGTGAAGGCGCATTGCACAGCTCCAAGGTAAAGTCGATGAGGCTAGGAAGCAGGCGTCGTGCATTCAGTGTGTGATTGACTTCATCATCGGTGATAAGCCTTTTACGGCGTGCATTCGTAAAATATCCGCGAATTTGCGCTACCACCATCACACACTGAATAAAACAGTCTTCTTCTTGATTAAGGAGAGGTTTTTTGAGAGAGTGCACCTTCTGGGGACCATGAAACGGTCTCTGGAACAGCGGTTGCGTCGTGTGGTAGACAATTCTGTCTTCCATTCTGATCCCAGTCGCTGGTTCGAGCCGCCGACGCCTGCGCCGGGTAAGATGCCTTCAGTTGAGCGAGTTGAAGAGTTCTCCGGAGATCTGTATGATCAAGTCCCTAATCTCATGGTGGAGACTCCAGCCCTTCGGGAATTTCGCGTGTTTTGTGAAAAACATCGTCGGCAGCGCTCGAAATTTCCGCGAGTCTCTCAGGGCGAGGTTCGATCTGCTTTGCGAGGTATGAAGAACCACGCTGCTCCGCGTCCTGATGGTATTAACGCCGTTTGTTGGAAGAGGTTCACCGCTGTGCATGTCCATCTGGCTCAGATATTCACCATAGAATATCATGTCCACCACAGTTTATAAGCACTGAGTGTAGCCACAGTAATGCCCCGAGAAGCACAATCAGCAGGATTCTCCTTACCGCTGATGTATCGCCACTTCGCTCCTGGAATCAGTTCCTGTATGCTGGCTACCCTGTTATGCACATATTCCTTCCACCGGGAGGGATGAGAGCTGATCCACGCCAGGGTAACACCTGAGTCTGTCCACAGGAACACAGGAGCATTATCAAGGTTGAGTTGAACATGCACATACCTTGTGAGTTTCGCCAGCATGTCTGCGGCGTTGAGCTCTAGTCTCGGGATGGTGAGCTGCTTGAGAGGAGCCACCTTGATTTCAGCAGTAGCTAACGAGATACTCACGCCGTCCGAGCTTGTCACCTTCACATATACCACCGCAGCCATCGCTGTTTGCGAGGCGTCTGAGAACCCGTGTATTTCCACCAGAGCATCATTCTTCACTCCGAGCCAACGAGGAATGGAGATATTTTCGACCTGAGACAGCTCCTTACGGAATTGGGTCCACTTATCCGAGATTTGTGGTGAAAGCGCATCATCCCAGTCCAGTTTCTCAACTAATCCAGCTAATCAACACAGGAGAAAGTAGACCTAGAGGATCGAACAACTGAGCTATCTCAGACAACATATTCCTCTTCGTCACCTGTGAGTTGGCCGGAAGGTGGATTGAGAACTTGAATTGGTCTGTGTTTGGATCCCACTTCAGACCAAGAATCTTCGTGGTGGAGAATCCTCTAGCGGCTTGTCATCCTGAGAGACACCTTCTGGATTCAAAGATCTGAGTAGAGACGGACTATTGCTATGTCACTTTGCTAGAGGGAAACCACCAGCTAAGCAAAGATCCCTCACTTGCTTGGAGACTTCTAGAAGATCACTCTCCTTTTCAGCACCACCACAGAGGTCATCCACGTATCTTCCACTGGTCAACGGAGAGATTGCTAGAGGAAAACGATGTCCTTCATCCGCGACCAGTTGGTTGAGAATTCTACAGGCTAAGAATGGGGCCGATTTAGTCCCGTAGGTCACGGTGGTGAGCTGGTAGGTATTGATCTGATCTTGAGAATCCCGCCACAGAATCTGTTGAAGAGGCCAGTCCTTCACGATGCACCTTGATTTGACGGAACATCTTCGTGATGTCCGTCATGGAAATGTACCTACTCCGCCTGGATGAGAGCAGCACGTCAGAGATATTCTTCTGCAGTTCGGCTCCAGTGTATTGGATGTCATTGAGAGACAACCATGAGCTGGTCTTACTAGAGCCATTGAAGACTACCGTCAGCTTCGTTGTTTCACTACTTTCCCTGAGAACACCATGATGAGGAAAGCAGTACATAGGTGTTGACGAATAAGCTTACCTCTGAACAGAACACTGAGTGGAGACACGAGCCGACTGCTTCTCCTCAGGCACCCTCAAACCTCCTGAAGCCGAAGCCCCATGTGGCAAGGTCATCCCCTCAGATCGATAGCCGAAATTCACGCTCCCGGCATTCCCGGAACCAGTTAGGGCTGGAACACGCACCATGTGTCCCAGATCTTCGTACTCCTTGAGAAAAACACTATATAGCTGAAGGGTCCGTTGGTCCCGCTCCATTCTCCGGAACAGGCTGGAGAGACACGATTTAGCCCGACCATAAGAGTCGCCAAGCTCTGTCGGAGAACGTGCAAGAGGCAGGCGAACCACATAGCGCCCTGAGCTATCTCGTGAATGGGTGCGCTGGAAAAACTCACATTCTGCCTCTTCTTTCGTGGGATCACTATCCTCGGCTTTTGGGACCTCCTCCTGCAGCCAGACCGAAGTGAGAAGGTCGTACAGTTCCTCGTTGCTGACTGCAATATGATTAGAGCTGGCCACCATTGGAATCACCGCTGAAGTGGGTCCTAGTACCAACCAACTGAAGATAGTGTGCATTGCTATAGGGGAGTCTGAAGGCCGCTTGATGATCTGTGGCTCCACAATTGATCCGAAGAAATCCGTGCCAATGAGAACGTCAATAGGTCTTGGCTCCATGCATTCCGGATCAGCTAACTTCAGTCCCTTGAGATGGCCCCATGCTTGAGTATCCGAGACTGAGAACGACGGCAACGATGATGTGAAATGGTCAAGAATGTAGGCCTTAATCTGATGATGTTTGTCTGAGTGCAGAGACTTCAGATCCAGCTGCGACTGCAACTCCGTGACTGGGAGCTCCTTCACCGCCGCTGCCGATGACTCCATGTAGCGAGACTCAATAAACTTTTGCCCTACTGGCTTGAATAAATAATCTCCCTGCGAAAGACATGCTCACCCGATAGCAAATACAAATTCAGCAAGCAGAGAAAGCACCAAACAAAAAAATCGTAGAGAACGCAACAGTGGAGAAAGCACAGCCAATAGCGAAACAAAATTGAAATCAAGCAAAAGCAGCAGCAAAGTTCAGGAACAATCAATAGAAGAAAATAATAATAATAATTGACTTCCCTGTGAGAAGGTCTAATGGCAGCAGTGACGAGCGCAGAACTTCAGCAGGCAGCGAAAAGGACGAGAGATCTGCTCCTGAAGTGCTGGAGAAATATGTCACGCAGCCCCAAGTTGAGCGACACTGACGGATTTGCAATTTTTAGTGGCGCGCACAAATGTCAATAGTCCGAGATGAGCACCACTGCACTGCTACGTCACGAAGGAGGAACCGCGTAAGAGGAGCGGATGGGCGGAGTCGGTGGGTGGAACGAAGGGGGTGGAGCCGACACACAGATTCCCGCGCTTTTCACCGACACCACGCGCGCCAGTTTTACTGAAAAAACAAT